CCGACACTCAGGGTAGGACTTGTCTGTGTTTACCATCTCCTGCACATCATCCAGGCCCTCTTCCTGTGAACCAGGAGTGTGAGCCCCAGTCTCCATCAGCTCCCCTAGATGTCTTACCCCATTCATCAAGGGGACGAGGGGCTAGTGCCCTAGGACCTCCCATGAGTACTGTCCCTTGAGTGTCCCATCGTCATAGGGAAACCACCAATTTCTCTGTTTTCAGAGCCTAGAGGCCTTCATGTTCATGGGTCTTGACTTCTTGAAGGAAGAAGCCACTTCTGGCCTGAGTGTGTGGTCTGGTGGACTCACAGGGGCTGGGCGGGACTCAGGGCTAGATGTGAGGGGTGGAAGGGGTGCAGGCCAGAGACAGAGGGGTTTGCCAGCCGCCTCCAGGGAAACCCAGGACTGGACGGGCTAGGATTCCCACACGACACTCTGGGTAGCCGTCAGGCCCTCTTCCACTCTTGGGACTGGGATGGGGACAGGACCCTACACATTTAGCCTGGATACTTAAGTAACATAATTAAAATGTGGGCACACAGTGTAGTTCTTATTTATTTGCTTTCTCTTTTTCCCAGAGATGAGTACATTTTTTCACCATCAAGGACTAGAAATAGGGACAGTCCTGGCTCCAGTTCCTATGTAAAATATGGTCCTTTCCATGAGGACCCTGCTTTTCTTTACAACGCTTGCTGTGCAGCAGTAATCAATGTACATTGAATGAACAAACAAGGCATCTTCTATTACAGTAGTGCGTTTGTAAAACAAGATGATTTCAGGCCTCTGGAGACACCCTTCTACTTCCTGAAGTCTAGTTCCCAGTGTATTAAACTGAACATTTTAACTATAGCATCTGCTTTTAGTCTTTCTGAAACTTTTTTGTTTCATCTATCTTTGTATATTTGCACTCTTGTGCCCTGCATTTGGCTTCTGAATGGGAGATACTTCTCTCTCTCTAGTTATGAAAATTTTTAGGCATTTACCCAGAGCTCTGCATTAATCTCTGGTTTTCCAAAGGGTCTGGGCTTTCATTTTGTGCTGCTCTTTGCATCCCACTTCTCTTGGACGTCTTCCAAAGAAAGCCCCTGTGGATAGTATGACCGCAGGTACTAACCTCAAGGTCTCATCTTCTTTCTGTTCTTGCTGACATTAACCACAATCACCATTTGCTGTACTTACCTGTGGGTCCCCTATGATGGTCACAACTTTGTGGTCTGTTAGTATTTCCACTGTTCCTACCATTTCCCTTTGGTCTCAGCCCTCCAGAAAGGACTATAATCTTCTCACCATAATTTTGGGGCATGAATAACTTCTGGGCAGCAAGTGACTATGAAAATAATCTCTCTGGGAATTATATTTTCGTCCTTGTTCCTGAGCTTTGTGCCTTTGTTTACTTCCCTCCCACATTGAGAAAGGCTGACCTGTGCAACTAACAAGATCCTGCAGAAATGAAGATGTATGACTTCCAGGCTAGGTCACAAAAGGCATGTGACGTCCCCCTTGCCCAGTCTTGTATCCCTTGTTCTCGGTGAGCCAGCCACTGTGTCATAAGGGCACTCAAGAGCCCTGTAGATGGGTTCATGTGGTGAGGAACTGAGACCTCCTACCAATAGTACCAACCTGCTAACCATGTGAGCAAACCATCTTGGAAGAAGGTCTTTAGTCCAGTCAAGTCTTCAGGTGATGCAGCTCCAGGTGACATCTTGAATACAACTTCATGAGAGACTCTGAGCCAGAACCACTTAGGTAAGGGGCTTCCTGACACATAGAAATGATATGAGATAGTAAATGTATATTGTTTTATACACCCGCCCCAACGCACTGTTGCATCTTTTCTCCATGCCCTGCTACCCCAGCGAGCTCCTCATGAGCCTAATAATGCTTGTCTCTGTGTGCCTCCAGCATGTGCACACAGTAGGTCTCGATAGCCGCTGAACTCAAAGTGATGGGTTCCCCTGGGACCCAGACCAGAGCCTCTGCTCCTACAGGCCCCTCCCTGTCCTGAGGAAGCGGGCGGACCCTGGCCCAGGTGACCTGGCCCATGCGGGCTCCTAACTCAGCCAGCAATGGCCCAGGGGGTAGCCAGAGGGAGGCTTCTCTCTCTCCCTTGAGGAGGGTCCACAAGTTGCTGAGCCCACAGAGCCATCGCCAGGGGACATGGGGAGATGAGGGAACGGGGTGGGCTTCTCAACTGTGTTTGGGTCACAAGCCCCGCTGAAAACACACACATGCATTTTTTCATTCAGTTTCCAGGAGGACTTCAGATCCCCGAAGAAGAATCCCTGAGCAGGCAGCTGGGCTCATCCTCAGAGGTTGCCCTTAGACCCCCCACATCTCAACTTCCCTTTGGGGTCTCCAGGGCTCCAGCACCCAAGCCCTTTACGTCTTGTATCTTTGGGGACTAGACTTCCAGAGATGACTCTTCACAAGGGACCACGATGACCCCACCAGCCTGCATTCTGCCC